TTATACATAATATATTCTATCACACTAAGCTTGCTTGGATGACAAGTTCGGGAGAACAAAACATTTCAAATGGAGGAAAATGAGTTAAGCTCACATATAGGTGGTGCAGTGTGCGAACACTCTCTCAAGTCAGAGGAGGAGAGGGAAAGAGGAGAGGAGTCTCTCAGCACGAGTGGGAGGAGGAGAGGAAAAGAGGAAGAGTTTCCTCAGGACGAGTTGGAAGAGGAGAGGGAAAGAGGAGGAGTTTCCTCAGGACAAGTGGGAGGAGGAGAGGAAAAGAGGAAGAGTTTCCTCAGGACAAGTGGGAGGAAGAGAGGAAAAGAGGAAGAGTTTCCTCAGAACGAGTGGGAGGAGGAGAGGAAAAGAGGAAGAGTTTCCTCAGAACGAGTGGGAGGAGGAGAGGAAAAGAGGAAGAGTTTCCTCAGGACGAGTGGGAGGAAGAGAGGAAAAGAGGAAGAGTTTCCTCAGAACGAGTGGGAGGAGGAGAGGAAAAGAGGAAGAGTTTCCTCAGAACGAGTGGGAGGAGGAGAGGAAAAGAGGAAGAGTTTCCTCAGGACGAGTGGGAGGAAGAGAGGAAAAGAGGAAGAGTTTCCTCAGAACGAGTGGGAGGAGGAGAGGAAAAGAGGAAGAGTTTCCTCAGGACGAGTGGGAGGAAGAGAGGAAAAGAGGAAGAGTTTCCTCAGGACAAGTGGGAGGAGGAGAGGAGCAGAGGCTCAGGACAGATGAAAAGAGCATTCTATAATTGTAAAGTCTTCCTGTCAACTGTCAAGGCCATATCATACAAAGGTCATTTAGTAGGCTCCCAGTTCTGGTCCTATCTCTTGTGAAGAACATGGACATATGTGAGGCAGCGTGGTGGAATCAGGCTCTCGTCAAAATAATCAAAGTGAAGAAATGCGCATTATTTCCGCAGGTTTGTGAGTTTTAATCAAAGTTTTGTTTTTTGGCTCAACACCTTTCATGCCCATTAAAGTTTAAAGAACTCAATTCTGTGTGGATTTTTCTGAAAAACGTTAATTAAAGGAACAAAAAATGTCAATTTTCAGTTACCGCGGACTCTTAAGCTAAGGAAATAACTAATCTTTGGCGGCCATTTTCTCACTAATTTTACCTCTGGAAACAGATGACCCCCACCTCCTTCATTCGCAAATATATCAACTTGTATTCAAGATAAATGGATATTGTTTCGTTTTAAGAAACACAAGTGAACAAGCTTTAAGATGACACCAATAACTCTACATGCCCAAAAATTGACGAGAGCCTGATTCCACCACGCTGCCTCACATAGAAGATCCGGGCTGTCAGTTCTTGTCCTATCTCTTTTGAAGAACATGACACAAGATCCTGGCTGTCAGTTCTTGTCCTATCTCTTGTGAAGAACATGACACAAGATCCTGGCTGTCAGTTCTTGTCCTATCTCTTGTGAAGAACATGACACAAGATCCTGGCTGTCAGTTCTTGTCCTATCTCTTGTGAAGAACATGACACAAGATCCGGGCTCTCAGTTCTCGTCCTATCTCTTGTGGAGAACCTTTCTGTACAGGACAGGGTCAGTGTGTCGGAGCAGAGTCTGGAGAAACCACCAGGAACGTTTAGTAAGGAAAACTTCTCGCGGGACACCACCAGGTCCTGCTCTATTTAGTTTCAGTAAGTTTTACAGCACTTGCAACACAATAAGGTCATATACAAGTGCAGAAGATTAGAGGTGTTACAAGAGAGTAACAAACACAAAAAAGGAGGAGGAGAGATAAGGACGACAGATGTTTGATAGGAGAAGAATACAGTACCCGCCAACCACCCACGCCCTGCACTATGTGTGTCACCCGGTATACTACTACAGCTCTATCCGGTATACTACTATAGCTCTATCCGGTATACTACTATAGCTCTATCCGGTATACTGTTACAGCTCTATCCGGTATACTGCTACAGCTCTATCCGGTATACTACTACAGCTCTATCCGGTATACTACTACAGCTCTATCCGGTATACTACTACAGCGCTATCCGGTATACTACTACAGCTCTATCCGGTATACTACTATTGCTCTATCCGGTATACTACTACAGCTCTATCCGGTATACTACTATAGCGCTATCCGGTATACTACTATTGCTCTATCCGGTATACTACTACAGCTCTATCCGGTATACTACTATAGCTCTATCCGGTATACTACTATTGCTCTATCCGGTATACTACTACAGCTCTATCCGGTATACTACTATAGCTCTATCCGGTATACTACTACAGCTCTATCTGGTATACTACTATAGCTCTATCCGGTATACTACTATTGCTCTATCCGGTATACTACTATAGCTCTATCCGGTATACTACTATAGCGCTATACTCACAACTGTTGACAAGTTGACGATACGTGGGAATTGTTTTGTTTTGGGGGGGTTTTTGTAGAGGGTTTTACGGCGCTGGCAACTGCATAAGGTCATATGAGCACCAAGCAGAGGTGGGCAAAATCCAGATAAATATACGGATAATCGGATAATCCTCAATAAGTACATTATCCGAATTCAGGGACTCTTTCCTTGCCAGTTTGCCGAATTGGGTGCACCCATGTGTTGAAGTGATGCTAACTCATTTGTCAAAGTGGTTCTAACCCATTTGCCGAATCGGTACATAACATTATTTACCGAAGAGGTGCACTAACATATTATCCAGATTTTTCTAAAGCGACTCATTGCCCAGCCCTAGCGCCAAGAGGTGGATGTCAACAGAGAAGTCCTTACAGGGAATCAGACTTACTCTGCTCACCTCTCTAGCTTCAACAGCACAAAGTCTGCTTCGACTATCAAGGCACCCCGGAAATAGCGGGTCACAAGAGAGAGACAAACATACAAAAGAAGTAGAGGAAAATGACGATAGTAAGGATTAGGAAAGAAAAAGCAGCAGTTCCCTGTTGTAGATCAGGCACAGTTATGAGCGTGACATGAATCAGCCAATTTACAATTCTACTGTGCATGAACGAGAAATGTCCCCCCTTTGGGAATGGCCTAAAGACACTACAGTCAGTGGCACCGCCCCGGGGGCTGTAGAATTGTTTGTTTGTCTGCATGTTTGTTGGAGTAAAAACAAGCACAT